TGGTCTGTCACTAACAGAGGGAAGTCAGGTTCCCTATAATCCATGGATTAGGGAGGTCTGGGAGTGGTGCCTAAAATGACTACTGTAACTCAAGGAGTCGGCTGTGGTCTACCACATGCACTTGTGTGTGTTTAGACAGAAGCCACAACACATACTGTCATTTCCTTTTATCAATGATCACAGCTTTGCAGGTGTCTTTGTGAGTCATATATCATACCTGCTCGCCCTACTGCAGTAAAACAACACATATCTATTTTCTTTGCATATGTAATCAGCAATCTTGAGAGGATAAATAGTATTAAGCTGTTTTTACAAAAGACATTTTGATGCTTCACAGAAAAAGTACAGGTATAAATAATAAAGCCAATGATGGCTGAATTCCATTTAGTTTCCTCAGTTTCGGGTTCCTTGTTTTGTTCCTGCTGACTCACTATCATAGTTTATTTACTTACTGAATACAACGGAGCCATTGTTAATGTTATACAACATTAATGATATATAACATGTGTGCTTTTCCTACTACAAGAAGTCAAAACATCTGCCTAAAAAGCCCATTGTAAAGGTTTAACTGAAATAATACAGAATATAAGCCAAAACACTCAAGAGATGGTATTATGTTGTTGTTGATACAAAATTGATTTGTAAAACTGTGTAAACAGGATGGTAATCCACCCAGTGATCTGTGTAGTGAGATTCTTAAGAAGCCAGAGGAGGAAGAATTTTAAAGGCTGGGATTGAGAAAATGTCTGCAGCTGGACATCACTCATCTCACTTACACACATCATGGTTGTGGCCTCAAACTCAACAGGACGGGACCATTTCCTCGCTACACACACACTCACACACACACACACACTTCAACCTTTTCACCCATGTCAGCCTGCAGGAAGAAGAGAATAAGTAAAGGTGTTGAGACACCTGATCTGTTAAGACGAGTTGGTGTTCTGGACCAGTGAAACTTTGTAGTCACCATCTGTGCATAAAAGGTATTCATGGTATGACTGCAGGGAAGTTCCTGATTGTAGCAGGTTGAAAGTCACTGTTTTTTTCTTTCAAGCTCTCATCCTGACAGCTGCTAACTTGCCAAAAACCTGTGCAGGCCAATGTATTCTGAGGAGAAAAACCACTTAAAGCACTTTGTATAAATTGGCAGTATAAATAAAGTTTATTATTATTGTAAAATGTGTTTACTTACTTACTGACATAGAAGCTGATTCTAAGATACCGATTCAAAGGAATGGACCGTCTTGTTAAATTGATTGCTGTATTAACATAAAAGTGTCATTACAGTGCTAATTCAGATGTTGTTGTTCGCTACTTACACAACATCGTTGTTAAATTCATCGTACTGTATGTTTTGTAAGTGAGCAGCAGAAGTCAAATATTTGCCTGTGAATGTTAGTGGAGCAGAAAGTGTCACACAGTTTAAATTTTCAAGGACCAGGCCTTAGCAGAAAGTTCTTAGTTACTTTCTGTCTCTACCATGAAACAGCACAAATAATTATTTTCTCAAAAAAAATTTTTGCACAAAATAAATATGTCACTCTCTACTTCGTTATCTTTATTAACCGTTCCAGTAGTAACAATCTGAATTTAGTTCTGTAATAATTAGGATAAAGTAGTACATTTCCCTTTAATTCAATAAAGGTTACTTATTATCACCATAGTAACGCTGTCCCTGTCCAGATAGTATTTTGTATGTTTTGGGTTTCAAGAACAAGAAGTTTGTTTTGCAGAATTTGTTTTGATGAAATCAGTCTACACTGATCTCAAACAAACCTTCAAACATATTGAGTTCATTCTCCTCCAACACAATATAACAATCTCATATTTATAGTATCTACAAAGTCCTCTCAACTGTCATGTCAGTGTAACAATAACAGGATAATCAGATTAACAGGAAAATTGAATGTTACAGGTGATTTCAATAATGATATTTTGATACAACCATGCTGATAACACAACATAAATATATTTTAAAATAAACAGTATAGAGAAGCACACAGAGTCTTTGTCAGGTTCTTATTTTACATATAGTCATATTGGTCCCTGACCAGTTAACATTTGCACATTTTTCAATTGCTGTGGTATGTCTGCTATAGCTCTCCATTAGAAAGAAATAACCAGAGAGCATCAAGGACAAACAAGCACTGATCTTTCATTCTCAATGATGTGGAAATATACCGTATATAGGGAGACCTCTAAACAAACTGTATGTTCTGAACACTTGAAATCCCTTTATATGTGAAGGCTGTTCATCACTTGAAAACACGGCTAATGCTCTTGAGTACTGCCTTGAAACCGTTGCTTGTTCTGAATCAGACTTGAGGATGTTTGTGGGCTGTAGCTCCTCAGTTTTTCTGTTGTCTAAACCCAGCAGTCATGGTCTTTATTTTGGCAGTTTAGTTGCATTCTTAGTCTCAAATACCTTAAACTACACAGATTGTGTTTAGCCTGGCGCCTCGCTTCGCTCACATGACACCATGAGGTACATCTAGTTTTCTCTGTGCAGTCCAGTTTCCTTTTGTCACTGTTATTAGTTATTCAAAAACAAAGAAATTAGAGAGGGAAATTCAGGATAGCAGATGAGACAGTCTATCAGGATTCATTCCTGCCCAGTGTGCGAGTATAATGTGCTCCAGAATCAGGAAAACTATCTCCTTGACGCTCCCGGACAATGAAGACTGAATTTTATAAAAAAAACAAAAAGGTCCTGAGCATCAAGAACATCCTCCTTTTTATTTTAATTACATGCACGAGACTGTACACTGTCAACTTTCCTTGCCTATATTTCTTACTGACTTGTATCTATTGATGGTTGTTATATTTCACATAAATATTAAAGAGATTTTTTTCCACCCTGTTGGACAGCCTTCAGTATATGTGCTTGTTCTAGCACTTCAAAACTGTATCCGTCTTACAGTCAACTGCAAATTAAAAAACTAGAAATCTATTGGGAAAGCAATTGAGTATAATGAACGTAATCTGCAGGAAAGAGGGCTGTTGAGTGAAATATTGACATTTTTTATGAATGCACCATTAAAGTCCAGATGTCTTGTGCATCATTTTATATGCATTTCTTTGTCATGTCAGCATGATACTTTACATTTTATGATTTACTGTAAAATGTTTATTATTACTGTACTTATGTATTGCTTAAGAAAGGTATTCAATGAAACTCCAATTACAGTGATAACAATGTTACACCCAAAATGCCCTCTAATCCTCCAAAGTTGTCTTTCCACGGGTTGCACGTTTTGAGATCTGTGTTTCCCTATCAGTTCACGGGAGACAGACTGTCTGGTGAGAGCAGGTGATCATTATCTACCATCCTCAGCGGACAGACAGGTCTGCTGTTCATGCCTCACTGTATGTGGGTGGTATGGGCTCTGGGCTCTGATACCTGCATCCTCAATACCTCTCTACCCTGTAGCTGGAAATAGACCAGACCAGCATCGCATCATCAAGCAGCAAACGCCAAGGCCACGCCCCCCTTTTAGGGGTAAAGAATGGCACTTTGACAAACTGCTGTGGGACTATAATCGGCTACAATAACTGAACTATAATCAGCTATAATAACCCTTTGATTTCAGGCACTGAAGATTCATGAATATTCACTGTCAGTGTGGTAAATAACCAAATGATGCTGGGGACAGTTGCTACTGGTGGATAGCTATTCAGGGGCGGATCTTGCAGGGATGGCAGCTCACACCCCTAAAAAAATGCCTGGTCACCCCAGTTTGGTGTCAAACGCTGTCAAGTTGAACACTAATTTAGATCTTAAAAAATAAGTTTAAAAAAAAAACTGAGCGTAGATTTAAGTTCAATGAAAAAGATGTATTTGGAAAAGTACTCATTTCTAACACCACCTGTAGATATTTCTATTCAATGCTTTAGTAATGTGCCACAATAATATTATGTTTTGAAGTAAAATATCTTCATTTGGGGGATTTTCCAAGAAAATATTAATATAGGCTATGTGATTGTTTGTGATTAAATAAGCATATATTTCTTTCACCCTTTAAAGTCTCCATGCCACCCTCTTGCTGCCCCATGAATATTTCTCTGGATCTGTCTTTGGCTACCTTGATGCTTCTGCAGTGCAATTTTAATTTATCAAGGTATCTCAAAATCTTCTAATCCAATCACATCAATGCATTTGCAGAGCACTGATATTTAATCTTCTGTCCCCAAAAAGAGGCGCAGTTCCCTTACATTGTTAGCCCCTGAGTTAATACAATGTGTGTGCATCACTGCATCATAAACGGGACAAACATCTCCTAAAAACAACTGTAAGAATATCTCAATACACGCACACACACATAAACTAAAACAGGGTGTTAGTTTCATAATTTTCATAGCCTATTATGTTTTCCTTATATATAGGCTACAATATATATATATGTATATATATATATATATACAAGTGCTTCAATAACCTGTAATAAAAATGATCAGCAGCTGACTGAAGAGCATAACTTAACTTAAATAACTGGTGACAGATAAAAATGTCAGGGTTTCACTGATGATAAAAAAGTTCTGTTAATATTAATATACACATTAGGTTTAGTTTTTAAGTGGTAAATCAGATTTCTAATATTGAAAGTAGCTCTCAGGTGCATCATTACACTATAAACTGAACATAAATGGATGTTAAGTAAATGTGTTTTTAAAAAAAGCTTGATTGATTGATCAAAAGGTCGCAGTGACCATCTGTTGCAACGACTACAACATGATTAACAACACAATGTATCGTAAAGACATGGGGCACTCTGCCTTTGATCGTCCTGTTCCACAGTGATAATATTTAGATTTCTGTTACAACACTGTGCTGTGACCCCTGTTTAACCCAACCCGACTGCACAGTAGTCCCTTACAGTGGTGTGAGAAACACGGCGAGATGAAAGAATATCTGCTGCGCCAAGTGTCTGTGGGAGGAGTGTGTGCACCTGCGGACACAATCATAGCGCTGCCCTGCTTAGCGGCAGATATTGCAGCTTTTTATTGCCCCAGCAGGACGCACAAGCGGATACCTGGATGCCATGGATGCAGAGGAGAAATCCCCCGCCGACAGCGGAGTGCAGCTCCTGGACATCGGCTCCAACTCGCCCCCTCCCGAGCCCCAAGGTGCGGAGGACACCGGCCACCTGGAGAAGCCGCCGTTTTCATACGTGGCTCTCATCGCCATGGCCATCAAGGAGAGCCCCGCCAAGAGACAGACCCTGAGCGGAATATACGACTACATCATCTCCAAGTTCCCCTACTATGAGAAGAACAAAAAAGGGTGGCAAAACAGCATCCGTCACAATTTGTCACTTAATGAGTGCTTCGTAAAGGTGCCCCGGGAGAGCGGAGGGGACAGGAAGGGCAACTTTTGGATGCTGGACCCGGCTTTTGAGGACATGTTTGAGAAGGGGAACTACCGGCGGCGGAGGAGGGTGAGGAGACCCTACAGACCGGCGAGCGTGCCTTACCTGACCGGGAACCCCGTGGAGTATCCCGACCCGCTCTACCTGCAGCATTATGTGAGCCCGTGGGCTCTGTGCCAGCCCGGCTCGTCCCAGCCGACCGGATACCCAGCGCCCCAGGTCATCACCGGACACACCCGCAGCGTGTCCCCTAGCGGCCCGGTGAGCTCGTACTGCCCGTCCCCACACTTCCACCACCCGGCATACGGCGCTTACCACCGCCACCCGTCCGTGCTGGTCCCCCACAACGGGTGTCCCTACGGCGGAGTGACCCAGCCGATGAGCCCCGACGGAGGCACCGCTTCCGTGGGGTGCAGCTACCAGCAGTTCAGCTCGTATGGAAGGCAGGCGGAGGCGCCGCTGGGTCATTCATACGACCTGTAGGGGTTACAGTTGATGGCCAGTACACAAAACCCAAAGTTAATCTCTGAACCATTTCAGTTCAGCTGTCGTTCGGTTGTCAGGTAACGTTAGCATGGATGAGTTGGAGTGTAAATGTCTTCATTGTTAATTAGACTACCTGTTAAATGAGCTGTTGGTTTTTATTCTCATTGCATTTAGCTTCAGTAATGGCACGGTGTGAACTGCATGGATACAGCTGATGAACTCTGAGGTTCAGCCTATGTTTGGCCTCTTTTATTGGACAGCTATTGTTTTTTTGTTTGTTTTTTTTGCAAAAATATAAACTCGTTTTACTTTGTGTTTTTTATAATTTGATTTTTTACAATTTTATGATGTATATTATTTTTTGAATGACTATGTTATTTATTTCTTTTGTTTGGTTTCATCCCATTCCCCGCGCTGCTATGCAACAGTTGGTGACACTAAAGCACTGATGAGTTATGACTTATTCGATTATGAATGTTTACTTGATGTAAAATACACCACGTTTGTTCAAATAAAATGTTATTTTTGCATCAAATACGCTCATTTATTGATTTACTCTCTAATAACGCATTTATAATGGCTGACGATGTTGTAATAATAATAATAATAATTTATTGGTTAATGAATTTATTCACCGTAAAATTAGTAGCCTTATAAACATAAAAAAAGACTTAGGCATACCTATATTTGATCATATATGGACAAAGTTTTAGAGGTAAGCTCATATGACTCTCTCTCTCTCTCTCCTATTAATTGATGCATAGAATTTCTAATAATGATGTAGTATCTGATTCAAACCATGCGAGGGAAAATAAGACAGAAACTCTCCCCGCACACATTCCAACACTATCACGCTCCCTGTCCTCTACACTGCGCGTTGCTAAGAAACAAATCAAAGTGTGATTGATTTCGACATTTTGATAAACACAAACACACAAAACACTCAATTTATGGCCAAAAAGTTTTAGGTTACGGTAATTATTTAACCTTTGGTGGGTTTAGTGAACGGCGCAGTCGACAAGAGAGAAATGAATAACCATATTCGGACGCGTCCAGGTGATTACGCGTCTTCCGTTTCCGGTGCAGGGGCGTGAACAAAAGGGGATCCGCTTGCCGCGTGCGATCTCGCGCCGTGTTTAGCGGTACAAAAACATCGTTACATTGTTCATGTTTGTTAGCGCGGTTCGAGAGGAGATGGAGGCGTTTCACCAGCTTCTGTTGGAGTATCCTGAGTTAATGTACAGCGGAGTCGGAGCCACGGCGGTTGTCGCCGGCGGGTCGCTCGTATATAAGATCGTCACCAGGTGAGTTGAAGCTTTTTGCACCGCGGCGCATGTTTTTTTTAGCTACAACCACGTTAACGTCAGCACAAGTTCGCAGGCTGTGTTTAAAAGATGCATTGGTAGTTCAATATTGTGACAAAAAAGGAATAATGTTGGCAATAAAAAATGCCTAAATACATGTCTTGTTTCCTCAGAGTGGGCTGTTTATCGTACGCTAACCACAGAGCTAACTTTGCTAGCCGTGGCGCTAACTACACTTCACTTAATGCTAAGTTACATAGTTTTGTAACATTTACACTACGATAACTGGTGATTTAACCATTTGAATGCACATTGTTTTTAGTCTTTGTTCTTCGGAAGCTATTGCGCGCATAATTATTGAGCCAACGTGATTGTTTTCAGTGCATTCATTCACCAAAACAGCACTAGGGCTCGCCAAACTTTTGCAGCCAACCAGTTTGACATGATCTTAGACAGTGTGCTCCACTTACTCACTGACTGGAATTAGACAAATGGTGCCTCATTAATAGAACAGTGATATTTGGGGAGCCACGTGAAAACACTTCAGAAATGCATCCTCGGATTTAATTAAGTGTCATGTTGCACCATTTACTCCACTTTAATTTACAGAAAGAAGCCGACCCATGCGAATGTGAACTGCTGGTTCTGTAATGACAACACAGTGGTGCCCTATGGGAACAGGAACTGTTGGGATTGTCCCAACTGTGACCAGTACAATGGCTTCCAGGAGGTATGTTTTCAAAACTTTATAATGCAAGTTCTTTTGTTTTTTTTTTGCAAGTGAAAAGTGTTTTTTTATATTGTTCTTTTGTTAATCTGTCTTGTTTTCAGAATGGGGATTACAATAAACCCATCCCAGCTCAGTACATGGAGCATTTGAACCATGGAGTATCTGGTAGCCTTCCCACATCTGAGGCGCCCAAGACCCTGCAGTGGGTCAACTGTCAGATGCTGCTGTGCAGGAAGTGCAATAACAACCAGTCTTTAAAGATCAAGCAGCTGGCCTCATTCATCCCAAGGGATGATGTATGTATTGTGCTTTTCTACTCACTACAACTTTATTCTTACCATGCCTGACAACCGTAAACACTACATTTATTATGGTTTGTTTCTGTTGTAGGAGAGCTATGACGAGGAAATTGAAGCCTACAAACACTACTTGGAGCAGACCTATAAGTTGTGCAGGCCTTGTCAGACAGCAGTGGAGTATTACATCAAATATCAAAACCGTCAGCTTCGGACGGTGCTGCTGAACCACCAGCTCCGACGCAGTCGAGAATCAGACAAGGGCTTCATAAAGGTCAGTGCACTCAATGTCCGAAACTGCAGACAAGTAAAGTGTGAATAAATGAATCTACATGAAACACAGTAAGGCTTGATAGGTAACCATAGGCAGTGGCGTGTTAACATTTCTGCCAAAGACTAAATAAAAAGATGATTATAACTTAGATTATAGCTTAGATGTTAGACATCTAAATTCAGTTGAATTCAGATGGGTCTTGTTTTTTGGCGATTTTTAATATCACATACTTTTATTAAAGACATATGTCATGTATGGAGTGCATAAGTTTGTGGTTTTCTTCCCCCACACCAGTAATAAATACGGTCTTAAATGCATATTGTTTTTTGACACATTTCAACTGTTTAAGTTCTAAGTATAGTAAGTGCAAAATGAAGTATGTTTCTCTGGTGTAGTCAAAGTGCAAACATAAATCTGCTACATCCTCATTGTGTATTTTTTTTCCTTCTTATTAGGACATGTCAGCATTAGTCTTTGCATAGCGTATTGATTTTAATATGATGTGAAAACATCAGTATTAACAGTGAAAACATGTTCTCTCTCCCGCAGAGCTCCAATTCTGTGTCTTCTCCCATCGGGGTCATACTGTTACGGGCCCTTGCCTTCCTGATATGTGCTTTCCTAGTTGTTACATATTTCAGTGAACTGCCGGACCAGCATACTTCCCCTACTGGCCCTACTGGCCCGCAGACCCTAAGTGGTGGGGTCAATCCTCCAAAGCCTAAACCCTCCAATGAATCCGCCCCGAAAAACGAAAGCAGTGGAGCCATACCCGTATGGCAGGGTCTCCTGGAGCTGCTCCCAGACAAGGCCATAGACAAGGCCTTAGAAAATGCCAAGCTGGTGTGGCAGCTTGGAAGGGACAACCAGCTGGCTGTAGTCTCTGTTGGCCTGTTAACTTGTCTCACTGCTATCTTCTTGGGAGGACCTGTGAGGTAAGCAGTCACCACCTCTTTATTTTACTTTGGAAGGGATGTCCCAGACTTGTGTCATTTAAGCATAAGCAAACTCCAATCTCACATGTTACTGCATTTTCAGGTTGAGGAGAATTGATGCTGTGGCCTCTGTCCTGTGGTTCGTCATCCTGTGCCTCTACCTGGCTGAGAGCTACTGGACAAGTTCCTTGAGCTGGATGGATACAGCCAAGCTCAGTATCAGCTGCGTCTGTTGCCTAGTGAGCTTTGCCGCTGCTGTGGCAACTCGCAAACCACCGGGTCCAAGAAGAGCCCGATATCGAAGGTCAGAATCTGAGCAGTAATGTTTGAAACATGGGATTCTTTCCCATGAGAGGTTTGTGTTCATTAGAACCAGATCAGAACACACAAACCTTTAAGTGTTAACAATGTACGTTATTTTTTCTGGTTCCTTAACAGAACATGGAAAATGCTGTTTTTTTTACTCTCTACCCCTGTTACTGCTGTGTGCGAATGACTGAGGTTTTGACAAATGAATGTCAAACTCAAAATGTGTGTGTCCTTTTTCATAGGACAATAATACAAGTGCTAATTATTTTTATCACATCAAAACCTCACCTTCAAGCACACTTCTACAGTTGCCCAATGTGTTTTTTCAAATTTTCATCATTTTGAATTTTAGAGTATTGCTGCACAAAAATGAGATGAACAACTGTTCTCTCTGGTTGGTAACAGTGTTGTCATTGATTAAATGATAGATTTCTTATTTTTGGACTGTTTCAAGGACAGAAACCAACTAGGGAATCTTTCAGGAATCATGTAACCAAAAAGGAATTCTTAAGAAACCAACAACACTAATAGAGGTGTGTGTGTGTGTGTGTGTGTGTGTGTGTGTGTGTGATTCAAGTACCCAACTAGTACTAAGCTTTGTATTCTACACTGTAGTAGAGCATCTAACAGCATTTTTGAATGTGCTTGTTTATTTATTAACGCTCTGGTTTTAAAGATTATTTACTAACTGCAGCTCATTGACTGACATATTAATTTATGAACACACTGTTTTTCTCTCCAACATCTACAATTTCTGAACAAAGAGTGACCTTGGATATTTTCAAAAGTGTTCGTCAGTCCTCTGCCACCATTTATTTATAACTAGAAAGGCTTTTCCTTGCATGATATATGGTTACATGGTTTTCAACCGGACAGCCCACTGTGTACAGTTTCTATGAATTTTGATCAGTATTTGTAACGAGAACAGCGCTCACTAGTTGATCAAGGTTTTGCTATTTGCCGCTCTTCTCCCGTCCCCATTGTTGTCTCTTGTGCCTCTGTGAATTCCATGTGGATTATGCCTGAATTTTTCCTCTGCCTTGAAATGATGCATGACCTTTACTATAAGTGAGTAATCCCTGCAAAACAAATTTCCCTTTTATATATTGCACTTGTATTATGTGTTTGTTCTGTTGAGCTTAAAAATATTGCCTCTAGGGGACTCCCTGGCGGGTGCTTGGCTTGTATTGGCATTTGCTTGAGGTAATAATGTGTAAGTAAGTAGTTCCTGGCGGCTTTGTTGTATCAATTAAGGCTGCAACTACCATTGTTTTCGTTGTTGATTAATCTGCCAGTTATTTTTCTAGATTAATCATGTGGTCAAAATGTCAGAAAATAGCAAAGTCCATCCCAGCGTCCAATGTGATGTCTCTTAATGTCTTGTCGGTTCAAAACTCAGAGAAATTCAGTTTTAATGGTTTTTGAATCAGAAAAGAAGAACATCTCCATATTTAAGAGGCTGAAAACAGCATCTTCTGTCAACTTAACAAAAAGTGAAATGCTAATTTTTGCAACTGAATATGGTCACTGGCTTTTAGCGTAATGTAAAAGTGTGAGCAAGAGTGTAAGAATCAAAAGTTATATGAAGCAAGTTTTTACCACACTCTTGCCAGATAAGCCTCAGCCATATTACAAATCCTGGACTTGCATGGTATATGCTTGCAGTTACTTCCAGGCAGGCTTGTCTTTCATTCAAACAATTTAATGTTGGACTGTAACTTTATCATATTCTTTCTCCAACACTTACCTGTTGCTTCCCTTGATCATTTCCACTAATACTGAACTTTCCTTTACCAACAGTGTAATATGTTGATGTATTAATAATACAGATGGACGTACTAGTTACTAACATTTCACCTCTCACCAATTTATTTCAGTTAACCTGTTTTTTGTTTTACTTTACTTATTTGAATGTATTGAGTGAAAGGGGATATTTATGACAGTAATGTGAGATGGTATTACAAACTGATAGCTGTAGAGTGTTTTATAGATTGTATTTGATGTGTACTGTAACTGTGGGGTTTAAATGGCATGTCGAGCTGTCCTGTAGATGGAGTTATGTTCTCAAACCAGCGTCTTTGCTGCAGTAGTGTCAAAGCTTTAATTTGTGGATTTTTGCAAAGAAAATGTTGCCATATGTAACCTTGGATATTAAAGGTGCTATTTGTAGGTTGTGAGGAAAGTATTGATTGTGTAAAATCTTAACAGTCGTACAGGGTAATTTCAAGGTAGTTCGAAGTCTGCCTCTGAAAATTTCATGAAAACATCACAGGGCTATATAATCCTATAGCATCAATTAGTTATGATGTACTATTACTACTTTTTTACTTTTCATAAGCTGCATCGTAAACACATGACAAAGATAATATTTCTTCAAAATGAAAACACCTGGCACTTGCTTTCATCAACCCTGGTGAAGGCAAGATAGCTAAAAATGTTTGAATAAAGCGCGCTGTACTGGAGACTCGTGCCAAGTGCATCTTGCAGTGTGCCAGTTCCCAAAGTCAGAAAAAGATAATATTTAAATAATAGTGCTGTTTATTTTTAGCTTTGTTTGTATATGCAAAGTACATCTTAACATTATCTTTGCCAAAGTTTTACATGCTGTGCTAAAAGTTTGTGTTCACTATAAACCTCTAGTGTGAATGTTTGTTATGCTATGATATATGCATAATATCCAGCCTATAGTATACGGCTATATTGTGTTTTAGAGAATTCCTGTAAGCTGTAGGACTGTTGACTATTATTTGTGGCAAGCACTTGGCTATAGAAACACTACTTTCAAACTTGTATGTTAATCACATGCCATATAAAACACACAATTTTACCATTGCCTCCTATGTATTTTGGTGGTGGTGTTTTATCAATTATGGCTAGAATAGAACATTTTTACTAATGCAGCCATGAATGTTTTTACCGCACTGTGTTTCCTATGGATATCCAATATGTAGTCAACAATGTGATTGTGTCATACCTAAACGTTTTAGATATGTGTCTGTTGCAGAAACACTAAAAGACTATTAACAGTTATAATGCCAAATCTTGGTAGTTTTTACACATTTTTTAAAAACAATTTGTTATTCCAAGCTATAGTATTAATAAGCTAATAAAATGCATCCTAATTTGATCACTTATGTTTATATACATATATCCTGTAGCAGCTTCAGAGTTGGAGCTCCGTCCATGTTGAAAGGTTTCCTGCAACATACCCAATAAAACGTACTGTGTTTTGGGTGTCTTGCTTTTAACTTTTAACTTTGTAGGAATGCTTGCTGTACATGGAATATAATAAACAACTGGTGAAAGGATATGCCTTCTTTGTTTGTTTTCAACACAAACTCTCCATCTTGTCCACTTGTATGTTTCTGTCCTGTTTGCGAAATAGTAGCTTTAACACACACCATTAAAGTAGCATGTCAGCACATTGTTTGCCAAGCCTGCTGTGATTACAGGTTTTCTAGAAAGACACTGCTTGATTGCCACTGAAAAGAAACTACTTTGATGCATAACAACATGTATGGGCCGCTGACTGTGTTGTGAAATTGTGAGTTGAGCTGTATTGCTGGGCAGCATTTCTCCTGGAGCTTTTGTTCTGTCGGCACACTCAGCTGCTGTTGTCCGACAGCTGCAGCAGCATTCAGCGACAGCCTCGCGGTAGCTGCTGTCTTTAATAAAGTGCTCTCATTAAATTGATATCAAGAGTTGTATGGTACAAAGTTTGTGCATTGATTTGATTTCAGACACTTGTACTCATGTAACTCTTTTTATTTTAATGTCAATGTTGAGTATTGACATTGGTGTGGAGCAGATAAATCCCATTTGAAGACTTTCTTAACACATAAATCACAAATAGAAAAGTGTCCATGCATCGCTATTTGTAAGGAGTTATCTTCTATAACAGTGCATTTCTTGCACAGATGTATATTACTGTGTGTTTCTGTAGTATTAAAACCTTGACAGTTTTGTTATAATTTTAATTTCAGCTAGTATACCATTCCGTTGCTCTTGTGTTGCAGATACCTTGGAGGCAGCCAGTCTCTCTTGCTTTCTCCTGACCTGGCAGACACCTTTGTCCCCACCCCGCCCCCGAACCTCTCCAAGCTCATCACCCGGCGACAAGGTCCTCGCGAGCGCAAGGCCTCCCCCTCCTCGCTGCCTGGGCGCCTCAGCAGAGCCCTCTGCCTTGGCACCATGCCCTCCCTCACTAGGACGGGTAACATTAAACTTATTTATTTCGGTTTGAGTTGAAAGACAAAAGAAATCAAGCTACTCTTTCCATGTCTTGTGGCATAACCTGAAGATGATGTATTGTGTTGGATTCAGTGCCCTGCCAAGTATTTGTGGTCTTGTGTCTCAAAAAACTCACTGTAGATAATTGACACAGAAGTGCTGTTCCTCTTTTTCAAGGCGCCTGAACAGGGGCAGGTGGGAATATTCAGCCCACTTCTGTCTACAGTTCTTGGCTTCCTATAGCTGCTCAGACATGTTTGATCTTGAGTTGCTACTTGCACTGTTTTGTTCTTGCATACAAACAAGATTTATAATTGATAAGATTCACTAGCCTCCTTTCATTTTCTGCTGTTTGGCAGTTGGGTCGAGACACTCTGTTTTCTAGAGAAGATCTGTCTGAAGGATTGGTCTTTTAAGTGTTACTGTATGGTTAATGCTTGGGTGCTTCTTTTTCTCTTTTTTAAACAAACGCCTTTTACAAAATATTATAACGGTGATGATAGACACTATTTCTAATCTGCCTCAGACATATTATTATTATTATTATTTCTGTTTCTATCTGCAGTGAGCTGATATTTCACCCTGGCCAATTACCCTACCCTGGCTGAACTCTGATAAAATGTGCATAAATATGCATTTAACATTCATGATAAAAGTAATAAGATGCTACAGTAGATGGATAAAGTGCCTTATTCCATCATTTAAATTTAAAGCTGAAACAGTTGATCATTAATCAATTTGTCGATCAATACAAATTGTTTGAATTCTTAATTTTTTTGCCACTAGGGTGCAAAAAAAAAAAAAATCAGAGCTACCACCACATGTCATCAACCTGTACAATTGTTGGCCTAACGTTTCAGCATAAAGTTGCCATTTCAGTAGGTTTAGATTAGCTTTTAGTTGTGTTGTTTCTGGTCAACTGGCACTGACTAATGCAGGTTTAAGGAAATCCCCGGTGAATGGTGACTGTATATTGTATTTCTTATTTTCAGATTCTGGTTACCTGTTTAGTGGAAGCAGACCAGCCTCACATTACAAAGACTCCCCGCCCTCAGGTATTTCATGTGGATTTTGTGATCTCTCCTCAACCCTATGTTTTAAACAATTCCAAACCCTTTCAGAGCACTTTTTACATTTACAATTTTTTTTGGCACAGACTACTTTTCACTGAAGTCGGGGAGCCGCCCATCATCCCCAGGCCCCTCTCCAACTCCTTCAGTAGCTGGGTCAGTTACATCCAGTTCAGGTTCTGCCAGACAACGGCGCCCCCTCATCAGCCCGGCTCGCCTCAACATCAGCGGGCGGAAGCTCCGGCTTTTCTCAACAGAGCCAGAACCGACGCTCATGTCCCCACCTGCGTCTCCGTCACATTTCCACGTAGAGTCGACTTCTTCCATTTACAGTGGCTGCTTCTCACACGACATTTCACCCTTCCAAAGCCAAAATGGTGAGTACAGCTGCATCTGTGAATAGTAAAATGTTCGTTGTAGGTTGGTTGCAGCAACTTGCATTTCGGTCTACCTCGGTGTCATTCATGATATCACCACCAGAGGGCAAAATAAAACATTCTCAGATCATACACATGCAGTGACTTTAAAAAGAGTTCATATTCATTACTAACTTAACTCATCTAAACATGAAATAACTTCATGTTTAGATGATTTTATCTATGGCTCCATGATTTACCTGCTTCCACTGTTTTGCAGATTTGAGCTCTTTGTTAAGGGATGACAATGTGATTGAAGAAGAAGAGAAGCAGGGCAGCTCCTCGGGGTCCTCCACATGCCTGGTTGGCACTACGACACAGGGGCTGGAGAACAACCCTCCACCAAAAGGTAAGAAGTGTGATTATAAACATGGGAGAAGAACTGGGATCGATGACATTCCCTCTTAATTTCAGTGTAATAGACGGGGGGCCTAAATACTACAGAACGGTCATGTAGGAATTTGTTTTCCCATTTTTGCTACTACTTTTGCATTCCATCTGATCCATATGGAACAGTTAGTGTATTGGTCTACTTATACTACAGAGAGGAGAGATGACGTAACTGTAACCAGTATCTGGTGCTACAAAGTCCAGTGTGAGCAAATATATGTATCTTTAAGGATGGACAAGAATCCGAAGAGTTGAGCCACATGAGCCTGCTGTAGGGTTTTAAAGCCCATCAGAAATGTTCGGTTCCTTCATGATGTATATGCATGATGATTCTCATAAAATTAATTAGCTTTCTTTGTAACATCTCCAGGTTTCATGAAGAGTCTTATTTGGCCGGGGCTTTTATTGGTGAGCCTGACCTCCAACCTGTTGTTCGCCTGCCTCTATATGTACCATAACTGGAGATGAACTGTTGATGGGTCCACTGTTCTCCTGTGACCTGTACAGAGTGAGTTGACCTCTGTCACGTCTGTGGACCTGGAGGTCATTCAGCAATGCCAGAAAACTCACCTTTTCTGGCAGTTACTTATTGCTTAATGAGAATACAAATGTCAGTTGTTGTTCTTTTTGACAGCGTTTCTCCTGTTTGGTTGGAGTTACGAAAAAACTGTATGCTGAAATCAAATATTATGTGATTGATTGCTTAAAAATATTTAGGCTTTTGTGATCTGGCCTTGTTTTTGTCTTTTGGTTTGTCACTGCTCCTCTTACACGATCACAGGTGCACATGTAATTGATTTAAAAGGCTCAGCTCTTGCACCGATGCTTGGTGGCTTTTTAAAGACCGTTCTGTGAAATGTGCAATAAACATGTACTTTTTCAGTCGAAGCTGCTTGGACTCAGAGGGTCATGTCTTACCTACTTATCGTGATCAACTGAATAACATTTCTGGTTCTTTACAAGAGCCAAAAATTGGAAAACATTGAGCAGAATGTTGTCTGTGCTGTATACTTACAGCTTTTCATATTTGAAATTTGTATAGATTTTCTATTTGTTGTGTCCTAATTTCACAGCACTGGTGTTCGCCATTCTCTTGCTATGTATATTCAGGAGGGAAAGAGTGGTGTGTCAAATGATATCCTGTTGGGTTGTTTTGTTAAAGAGTTTACAGTCAACATTTTTAATATGGTCATGTATATCTCATGTCACTCATTCACTACAGAAACAGTTCTTTCAACAAACCATTTAATGTTGTTATATCTTATAGATATCCTGTTCACAGGCTAGTGTGTAAGAGGCAAAACTCCTATGGTTAAGTGCAATATTAAAATCTCTTTAAAGAAATGTCCTAATGTACATGTTTGAATAATAAAGGCACAGAGATTCAGATAGTTTTACTCCTAACTGAGCTGTGAACTAATTTATACAGGACTTTTCTCATAACTTGTAGTCAAACATCTACATATTAAACCAGAATGATTTTGCACTTGTTTTTCCTTTTTTGTGTTCCGTTGTGTTTGTATTTTGAATATGTGATTGTTCTATTAGAGATGAAGAGCACAGATGTTTAATGCGTGTGTATGTTTTGAGTAACAAAGTTGTACATTTTGGACATGTATAAGAAGTGTTTAAACAGTTTACAGTTTGTTTGATTTGCTTCTCATGTAAACATCGTATGATGTTAGGCTTTTGGATTTATTTTTTTTCACATCACTGAATGGCCATGCACTTGAGTTTTTTTTTTTTTTGTGTGTGTGTGTATTTAATGGGTTATGTGGTTTTTCCTCACACTTGATGCTAACTTGTTGTAATTTAAAGTGCTGTTGCCAGTTTGTTATTTTGAGCCAAACTAATAATTAAACTAAAAAAATGTTTTCTGAAAAATAAAGTTGCTACTGAAACACCTCTAAATGACTGGAAATTATTTAATGATAGTTTCTATCATTAGATAATTCTAGTTAATCATTAGATAACCTTTATAATGAATTGTTTGTAAAGACTATTGTAACCTTTCAACGTATGTATGCAGTCTTTTGCATTTGTACTTGATGTGTAACTTACCATATGTTTATTTCTTCTCTCAAGAAGGCTCATTCATTGAAGGTTCATGTACATGTGGAAATTTAAATGCAGCAATGCTGGATTTTCCTAAATGAGACAAACCTTGTTTCAGTTAAAAGTAAATTTAATTTTTTTTTTTTTTAAACGTGTAACTGAAACATGTTGTGCTTTTTCTCTGGAATTGACATCACTATTATGTGAAGTCTGTCCAATTCAGAGTGTTTGACAGAAGTATGAAATTATGTTCTCTTTAATATTTGAATGTTTGTTATTCCACTGTGTTCAATGCAAATGTGTGTTCGCAAAAGCTGTTTGGTCTGTGTGATTGTAAAGACTGGCTTGTTTCTGGACCCATACTTTTTTAATAAAGTGCTTTTTCCCTCTCTATCCAGGTACACGGATATATTATTTCTAGATCTGTGTTGGTTTCTGCCCAGGGGCGGATCTAGAAAAATATTTATGGGGTGGCGAGAGGGAGGCAGGAATTTTTGAAGGGTGGCAACATAATAGTGTGTAAGTGTGTGTGTGTGTTGCGCTGAATTTAATAGTTTGATGACAAATAGTATGTAACACTACAAAGGGCACGGGCGGCCATTACAAACTCATCGCAATCAATGTCTGTGGCATTTGAGGTTTCATGTAAAACAGTTATATTAGGAATAAGTGGACATACAATGTGATCTCAGCTTTATAGGAGATAGAAGTTGGTAACACTACTGTGGTGGCGC